GCCTCATTTGGGTAACATTGTTGGGTGTGTTCTCAGTGCCGATGCTTTCTCCAGGTTTATCATTCACTTTTAAAGATAAGAGTCTCTCACACAAATTCTGATTTGCTTACGATGCGAGGAGCTCAGTTTTTTTGCTTCCCTGGGAAAATTGTGGCAACGAATTTTTGCCTTTTGTATTATTTGGGTTGCACTGAAGGCTCTGAGGCTCAGCAAACAATTAGATACAAAACTGTATTTGCAGGTATTGCCGTTTGAAAGGGTGGCGTTGTCTGTTCATCTGTGGTACCGATGAGTATGGCACAGCAACGGAGACCAAGGCATTGCAGGAAGGCCTAACACCGCGGGAAATATGCGACAAATATCATGCAGTACATGCTGAGATCTATAAATGGTTCAACATCGAGTTTGATCATTTCGGCAGGACAACCACCGAGTACCAGACTGAGTTAGTCCCTTTTTATTGTCACTTACAACTGGTACCACATTACTTTTTCTCGCCAAAAGTGCAGTTTGGCAAAGGCAGGCACACTTCGCTTGCAACAGAAAATTACCCGCATTACTGGTTTGCAGCTTCGTTTTTAAATTTGGCGAAATTTTTGATAGAAATAAGACGAGAATGGTTTAAGCAGTGGCGAAAGAATTTTTGTAGCGGCCAAAAACTGGTGAACGCTGAATCCTCGCTTTCGAATCCACTCTTCGATGGGAAAACTTGGGAGGCATCATATCGATCCAGCCGCTCTTGGCATTCTCTTTGCAGTTTTTACTTTTATAAAAATTAGTTCAGACTGACGCAGAATATTTTCCTGAAAATTCATGCAAACGGCTACACATCAACCGATACGATTGATCAGTTGCACTGTAACAACTGCAAAAAGTGAGTTTGAGCTTTTAAATAAATTTATTATTTCGTATTTCTTCTCACTATATTGGTGCTGCAGTTGGCAGTTTCTCCACTCTGGTTTTTCCTGAGTTCAACACGTAAACATAACTTCATAATCTAATATGCCAGTTTCCTTTTGCTCAGATACCTATTTTGACTTAGGGCACTTCAAAGATATTTGTAGCGAAGTAGCTGTTTCTCGTACCAGGCAAGCTGCGAGGCTGAAGCTGTCAGAAAATTTTATGAAGAGATCATGCTGAAGTTAAGGAGCTCCCTAGCTATAAAAGTGAGGTAACGAGTTAAAAAAAAAGAAACAGTTGAAGCGGCATTAAATCTGCCAACAAATCCGAGTGCGTTGCTCGGATGTCGACAAAACGGCTGGACAAATACATTCATTGGGATCGCGCACAACTGATACTGCTTCGAGCATTTTCCCATTGTGGCAGACATGCTCGCCGTGATGAAGTTGCTGATTTGCGCAGATGGAGTTCCGAGTTATCATTTAGTAGCTATTCAAAGCATCACGGATATAACGAAGCCTCCTATCATCCTAATTCGTGATACTGTGATAGTGATAATCATTGTATTTTCATGACAATCATTCCATTTTCATGATTTTAAGATTTTTGGCTGATCGTTTTGTGCACGGTGAATGCCCCTATTGCCATTTCGAGGATGCCCGTGGAGATCAGTGCGATGCGTGTAGTAAACTCATTAATGCTGTGGAGCTTATCGATCCTCGGTGTCAGCAGTGCAAGGGAACGCCAACGGTTCAGCCCTCGAAGCATATCTTCTTCCATCTAGACGCATTAGCTGTTAGTTTTTCTCTCTTTTTTGTACGCATTTTAGCTAATCTTCCGAATTTCGTGGCCCTTTTTCTCCATTTTTTGTTTTAAGGATGAAGTGGAAAAATATATCAATAAGCAGCTAAACGTGAGGAAGAGCCAGTGGTCGACGAATGCAGTTTCGATTGCAAGAAGTTGGCTGAAAGGAGGCCTGGAAAAAAGATGCATCACGCGTGACCTAAAGTGGGGTGTTCCGGTACCGCTTCAAGAATTCTCCAATAAGGTCTGTTTTTTGTGCTCTTTTTCCAGAATTGCCCTTTTCCAGACAGTTCACGCAAACATTGCCGTTCTTTGCGGGCCCCTGAATACTAATTTTGTTGGCAGCGCTGATAATTTTACGCAGTTCAATGTAAATTTGAATTTTGCTAAGAATTTTTCGAAAAATTTGGCATCTAACTTTTTAGCTTCCTTACTTGAAAACACGGAAAATCTGTTTATTCAAAGTTGAATTCCATCTGTGCATCTGATAACTTTTTCATCGACTGCGTTCTTATGCTTTCTGTCTCTCTCTTCACTGTTGTCTTCAGTTCTGTCTTCGATTTTCTGACTTCTGTCCTAGTTCCTTCTCTCTACGCTGTCCAGTTTCTGCCTCCAAAACCTCTCCGCCTTCTCCCCTCCTCTCTTATAATTGCACTGTCACCCATCTACATATATGCATGCCATTCCAGACTTTCGAGTCAGTGGGTTGGTCCACTGCAGATTTTAGTATCATATGAATAAACTACAGTCGATGCTTACGGATCGGAGATGCTCTTTAGTATTAGCTGGAAGTATACTTTCACATGTAT